CCAACCCGCTACAGAAAGTGCGACTTCTATCTACTATGCTGTTCATTTATGAATAGAACATTAAATGCACCAATATTAGTTTGCCTGTGACTTGTTTACACCAGTATTCCCTCCACCACGATTTCCATCAACTGATTTCATCGAATAGACATGCCACTCCTTGACTGTCTGTAATACTACACAAAATACCTCTAACAGATGAAATGCCAAGGTAAGCGATTTTGATTCCTTGGTCGACAAAATTCAACCTGTTGCTGCAGCAGTGAAGCAGCACGTGTTTCGCTAAATTACTTTTAGCCAACTCTGTGGAATGTCAGCATGTCTGGACCAAACATGGACTGGTGATTATTATAAACTACAGTACTTCTGCCAACACTAGGCTAATGGATTGATCATGTTAGAGGAAAGTGGTTTCACTGACAGACATGAAAAATAAAGTCCTTTTACATCAAGAAGACAGATGTGCACCACATTCAATTCATTACTTACAGGCATGTGTTGTGTTATCATTTACCCATTGATTTTACTTTTATTCATTAAAAAAAAAACATTTATTTATTCATTTGTGAATCAGATGACCTGCATTCATTCTTACCTTCAGTAGATGCTGATTTATCCATTTTGTAAATGTCTTCTTCTGCACTCTGTCTCTTTCATCTGAGAAGAGAGGAAAAGAGAACACGCCCCACAATTTTATTATACCACATACAAAATAAAACAAAAATAATGTTGTAAGGAAAACATGGACACAGTTAATTTAATGGTTGTTTACCATTAAACAAACTATCATTGTACAAACTGACAAAAGAACAGGAAGAAGAAGAAGAAGAATATCATTAGGGAAATTTCCCATGTTGCAGCAGATCACAGAGTACACCATAAAACCAGCATGGAACACCTCATCCCACCATTGTGTCTGTGTGGATTACAAAGTCACTGTGAACACAGACATGAATAATCTATCCGTCAGATTACGAGTGCTGAATTAAATACTGACCCATGCAGCACATGAGCGTCACCAGGTGACTCCTAAGCTCCTTCTGTTCCTTTAAGAGGTACATCATCCTCCGTGCTAACTCCTGAGGTCTGTCAGGAGGATCGTGGGAAAGCTTGACAGACGCCATGCGAGAAAGTGACTGACAGCGAAGTCACTGTAATTTTTCCTCTTCTTCTCTACACCACCGACTGCCTGCCTTCCAGCGACTGAGGCAGATCTCACCAAGTATCCAGAACGAGTCCTGTCAGGTTTTCCATGACTACTCACTGTTGTGAATTTTGATGCGGTTTTGTGTTTATCCAGCAGCAGGAAGACCACAAAGAGCTTTTTATCAAAGAAAGCAGCAGTTTCAAGGTTTTGTGCAAGTTTTGACCGACTGTGGACACACACACCTATTTCAGACCTTGCTGTTATAATTCGACGACGCCATTCAGAACTCATACTGAAAGTCTACTGAAGCCTGCTAACATGCCCAACAAAATAATTTATGGTTTTATTCCAGTTATGCAGTTTGTTTGGTGTTTAGTGACAGGCAGTGTTTGATGAAAATGAAACCAGTGGAACATTTCCACTCTGAGTCATAACTGCTACAAAAATAGGTCTTATTTTAAACATAAATACACTTCAGTCTGAGCAGGCCTTCATCAGCAGAGCTGCTGTGTCATCGATGACACATCTCTCCACTCTACTCCATGTGACTTTCAGTAAAGCACTGCAGTCTCCGGCAGATCATCAGTGCGCTTTCTAATGCTCATGTGTGTAGGTTACGTCTTCTTTTGCACTATACAGACCTCTACAGAGGAAGTCATTAGACGTAGTCACTTGGCGAGTGTCCAGAGAAGCTCTCTGGACTGAGAGCACAGGATGTGATTGACATCAGAAAACGGCTTCCAGAGATGGTGTATATTTATAAGCCACTGTGCTTAGTCTGTCAAACACAGTTCTAATGACGTCCGACATCTACAGTCACCTACTGCAGAACTGTGTGCAAGCATGTTTACCTGTGCTTTCCAAATAACACAAGGAAGTGTTGCAATGGTATGGTGCCCTCTTGAGGACAGGCAGAGTATAATAGGAAAAGAGAAATTTCACTCATCCTTGTTTTATATAACAGACCTAAAATGTTACGCCAAAAAGCAGCAGCAAACATCGATGTAAGTAATGTGGAAAGAAAACAAAACCTTTTTTAACACAACGCTTCATGTAATAATTAATCATCATTTGTCCCATTTAAAGCTTAAATAATTTTTACACACTCTTCACAGACATTCTGTAAATATTTATATATATTTCTAATTATTATTATTATTGTTATTAATATTATTATTATAATTAAATTAAATTCTAATTATTACTCTTATATTACACAATTACAGGCTGTTTTGTTCCAGTTTAACGTTCAGTGTTTAAAGCCTTCTTGACACTGGTAATAATTTGAACTGTTGTTTGTGTCATTAACAGGCCACATAAAACAGCTCTGCTGCACACTGTGGAGACCAGGACCAACAAGGTGTCAGAGACATGTTTGTAGACCCAAGCAAAGCACATGTGCACGCTGCTATAAATAACCTTGGCCTAGTCCATGCTGCCCCCACAAGGACAGGCAGCAAAATCTGTGCCTCTGAAGTGACATCTTTCACTTCCTTAAACCATTCAGTCAGAACAGTAATAATAGGGCAGAACAGGAAGCTCATGCTTCAAAAATAAAAATTGGAATTTTGGGATTTATTTTTAGACAAAGTTTAAAGTCACATTATTCAAAATCACTCAACTGATTTAATCCACACTGTACACAGAGTATTCTTCAAGTAATGATTTGTGTTAAAGCTGAATCTAAAGAAATTCTTCCAATATGATATGATATGATTCTTTGTCAGTAAAACAGTTATCACATGAAATGTTTCATTGGCAATAACTTGTGTGTCTGCATCAAGACTACAGTCAACAACACAAATCCAAGCAGCACAAACACTTCAATAGATCATGAGACCTGACTTTACTGTGATATTCTTCCAGGAGAAAAGAACAACTTTAGATTTCACATGAATTTCAGGCCGAGCAGATCCTGTCACTGCCACCCTCATAAATTCTGTTACATCACAGCACTGAAAATATCAGATTTTAAAAGTCCTGCAAATCAAAGTCCCGCCTGTGTAATCCTCTTAACTTCAAATGGCATGGAAATCAAAACAGACGACGCAGATTTAACTGAAAAGCTTCCAGACTTGGAGCATATGACAAGAGCTTGTTAAACATTCGTGATAAAACAGAGTTCATTTTAGTCCATGTCATTACCACGACTTATACCCCTGATTCCAGGCCACAGGGGCAGACATTACATTTGTTATCTCCACAAACACAGAGTTGACGTTGACACTGTGGAAAAGTTCAGCCAAATTATTTAAGTCATTAAGTCCAGCTTGTTCCACTGAGGTTCCTGTTGGCTCACTGTCACATGGTTGTGACAGACAATGTTAATAATACCATTAATCAGTTACTGAAGTAGACAAGAGTAGACAAGTGCATTTGACTTGAAGTACTGAACCCACTCTGACCTGATGACGGTGTAAAGGAGGAAAAGATGTATTTGAACACTAGGATTTGACACCTGACCTTCATAATCTGCACCAGATTACACAGCCATCCAATGGTTGCTGAAACATGTCAATATTGACCCAGGGAGGAATGTCAGTGGATCATTCAACTCAGAAGATATTGTTATCTGGAACTGAAGTATAAACTTGTGAAAATATTTCCAATAAAATATAATATGTACATAAATAAAATGGTAAAAATTATACTTTATGTAGTAGTTATTTGTGTAGGTGTGCACCAGCTACAGACTTCTTCTACTGAAGTTTATGCTGTCACTGTGTTGTCTCAGAAGGCAGCTAAACCAAAAGAACAAAGTAAAAACAATGAGCATCTGTAGGAGGATTCTTGTCATTCTTTGGAAGTGAGAATCCAACAGTCTGCCGGCTCAAAAGGGCAGGGCAGAGTCTGAACTATGTGGCTGGAACGGTTCAAACAAAACAAGGTGCCACGGCTGGAAGCAGTTCTTCCACTTAACTATTGGTTTGACTGGAACAATAAAGTCACTGAGACACCTGGAAGAAAAGAGACATGATCCAAGGCCTTTCTGAAGTCACTATCTAGTCTAGTCCTGACATGGCTCCTCACAAGAGGACACTTTCAACTAATTCCTAGTTCCTAATGGGACACACACTTGCACTAATTCACACACATCTGCTAACATGGAAATAATTACCTCCGTTCTGCAACAGCTGTTGCATAGATTTTCGCACACAACCGTTTGCTCTCTAACTTCTAACTAGGACGGAGAAAACTGATTAGGATTTGAAAATGACAGCCTGACGTACAAGAGAAACAAAAACCTCAACTCCACAACATTTATTCAAAAACAACAGATTTAGACTGAAGCTGTGACAAAACATCTGTGTTCACGTCATGGACAGTGTGATGTCATCTGGCATCACTGTGTTTCAACAGTTCCAGGAGCTCCAGCCGTTACAGCCGTTATATCAAAACAACTATCTCCTCTTCGTCCTATCTGATCTTAACACACTTTTTGGCCACGCAACAAAAATACAAAAGGGAACGTCGGTATTTCAGTGCTATGAGAAATTTGGGATCACTTCCCAGCATCTGCTACACAGTGTGGGGAGAAGGGTGGAGCCCGCTGGAGTGGGAGAGGAAAGGCTGCAGAGCATGAGTCAGGGGTGGGACAGCCACTCGGAAGATGATCTCATGCAAGAGGAGCTAGGCAAAGCTGAAGAATGAGGCTCAGTCATTCTGGTCTGCCCGATCGCCATGACAGCATACAAATACAACATCTAGGACCTCATCAGGGAGTCGGTACAAGGACTGTGACTGCACGGCATTTCATATTATTACTGTATTCTTGTTGATTGAGATATACTTTCAATGTGAATCAAACACATTTTATTTAGATAACAGAGAGACAGTGTTTATGAATGATAACTGTAAAAAAAATCAATATATTGCTTATGATTGAATGTGAATATATTTAATTTCTCAAGACTAATGGTGCAGTTAACTGTACTCTGAGTGTCCTGTTCTTTGGTACGTGCCTTTTTTCTGATGACTTTTATTGATTAGTGTTAGATCAATAAGAATCTCAGCAGCCAAAGAACATTATATGTACATCACATGTAACACTATATAGTTACCATATGCATTAAAGCTGCAGTTCATGTAGGTGCTGTACTCAGTTTTAACCATTAAAATGTTTGGAAACCAATGCAGAGCAATGACTGACCTGCTGGTGTCAGGTCCACGACTGAGGAAACATATTAGCCAAACGTGTAAAATGAAATCAGATGCATCTGCATTCACAGTTTCAGTTAAGCTATACTATGAGTTGAGTTTGAGCTGTGAAATGATCCAAAGACTTCATTAGCCATCAGCTATTAGCAAAGCAAACTTGATCCACCATACCCAGTCCTATTATACTGAATTTTAAGTTGATTGTTGGTCTTTTTTTATATATATTATCCATCCATCCATATTATAGTATCTTCAATTCATTCTATTCTACAAATTCTACAATTAACAATTAAAGAAGACAAGTATACAGGAATTCCGGAAAAATTAAATGCTCTTTTTAGGAAGATTGTTT